CCCCCCCCTTAAAATTTATGCATGCCCTCAGGGCTTGGGCCTGTGCTTAGGATGCCTGCCAATGGATTTGGGAGTATTTGAAGCCCCAGGTTGGAAAGTGGGGGTGGAGGATACTTGCTGGTTGTAGCACCACAGATGGTGTTTGAATGATTGAGTGTTGCTCAGTCAAGAGGATTCAGAACTGACTTGGCTGATTTGACCTGGAATACAAAGAATTTTCCAAAAAATCAAATCAAAACCCCTCTTAAAATTTACGCACAGTAACCCTGTCAAACCACAAGGCAGTTTGCTCAGAAACACTGTTAATGTCCTACTGCTGCAAGGTTGTTAAAATACGTTCAAGAGGTCGAAGGATTCAAGATCACACCCCACAATACAGAGGAAGGCAAAAATCCCCACAGTCCATGCCAGCCTGACCATGGAGTCAAATTCCTTCCTGATTCCAAAGGTGGCAACTTTCTAACCAGGAACCTCTGGCTTTCAGTTCCAGTGTGAGCATCAAGACACCCCTGTCAAAATCTGCCTTGGCTTCACCCAACACCCAGTGCTTTTGAGGAAGGCAGACCTGCCACCCAAAAAACCTCCAAAAATTCCTACCCTGACACCTGTAGCAGCAGGAGGGGAAAACATTCCTTGACAGCCCCAGGTGGCAACCAACACAGCTCTGAAGCGCAGGGAAAAAACAAACACCAAGTAATGGATGTTCTAACATGAGAATGAGTACCTTTTTCTGCTGCCATGTATAAGCTCATTTTGTTATTTCATCGCATGAGAAATATTGGAGACGAAAAATATGTTTCTCTTTCATGCCCAGGTCTGTTTGTATGTTGCCTGCCTGCCTAAGATGATACTTTTGTATTCCAGAAATACAAGCTGACACACATTTTGACCTATTTAAAAAGATATGCAATATGGAGTCTCTATGTATGTTTTCACCTAGACTTCATCCCATTAACATGCTCACTTAAACCACATTATATAATGACTTTCTATTATAATAATCATATATGGTATGATAAATTACACAGTATTATCTTAGTTTAGTAACACTTTCAATAAAATACCAAAGGTACATGTGATTATTTTTATAGTCATTTCTACATACATATCCAAAGGGCTTTTTAAAGGTATGTAAGTACTGATATCATTACAATATGCCAAGTGTCTATTATAACACCATAGTACTGATGGGTTACACTTCTGGTGCAGACACAGGCTATGCCAACAGGAGTTTTTCTACTCCCAAAGTTAAATCAAGTCCCCTTAACAACAGAGTAATACCTTTCTCTGCCAGCAGTGCTATATCCCCAGCAGGGTTTTTTGCTGGCAGAGCTTTAATGATTCTGGGGTGTAATATTTTCATGCCCCTAGCCAACATAGATCAGCCAGCAGGCTTTGTAGTATAAATCCAAACAACTCTGTAAGTCTTGAGTGTTGTAATGCAGTCTGGATTTTCTCACTCAGCAGAGGGGTTAACTCAACTGTCGTAGTTTACTCTGCACTTAAGATGTAGATTGATTAAGTGATGCACCAGAGGTCACACACAAGTCTAAGACAGCGAAGTAAAGATCCCTGGATAACTGACAACTCATCCTTTGTTTTCTTCTGTACAGGATAAAACTTGATAGCCTGCATTTCCCCCTTTTCTTCTTTCCTTCCTTCTAGCTCCTCTTAAAACACTTTTCAGATGATGATAGCAAATTTATTTAACAGCCTGGCCCTGGGCTGAGAATTTGACTAAAAGCTCAAGTATATCTCTAGCATGGTATTGTGGGAGATACAGTTTTTAGTGTTATTTCAGGGGTTCTCAAACTTTGTGATACTGCAACCCCAAGTGCTGGATGGTGACAGCAGGGGACAGGGAGCTCGCGTGGGGCAGCTTCTGCCGCCATCCACCACTCTGCACCATTGCCACGCGCCGCTTCCCTGCGCCACTGCGCGTACCCCCTTGGGAAGTTTACAGCCCCCTTTTACGTTGCTCGCGACCCCCCCCAGGAGGTTGCGACCCACAGTTTGAGAACCTCTCTGTTATTTGCTAGTGCATCACTGTTCATAGTTCTCAGAAATGTAACTTACTGGCATTTGTCTTTATTTAAAAAAATCTTCTTGGTTTTTCATAAATAATGATGTATGAATGTTCACAGAATTGTAGGTGAGGATGATGGAGGAAAACTCTTTACTCCCGAGGAATATGAGGAGTATAAAAGAAAAGTGTTACCAATCCGGTTACAGAATAAATTGTATGTGAGCTGGAGATCACCAGCTGGCATGGACTGTAAGCTAGTGGGCCCAGAGACACTGTGCTTTTGTACCCATAGGTAAGTTGTTTGGGGTTTTTTTTCTGCCATTTTTTTAAGTTGAGGAATGTAAATCATTTAAGGATAACATTTTAGTGCATTACGGATAACTTGAAAGCCTAGGAATTAAAGAAAATGAAGTAATCTAATGACTTGTTACAATAATGTTGCAATTTAAGGAAAAAAAATTGAGATCAATTAAAGTATTCTATAAGCTTCCATACATTCTGAGTTTGGACACATAACACAACTACTATGGAATACTTTACTCTGGATTTTACTCTCCGGTAAATGTATTCTGTAATAAGGAGTGTATGAGTGACTTTTTCTTTCTAAGTCAGGGGTGGGCAGTTATTTGGACCAAAGGGCCACATAGTGAGTTTTAGGGAGCTGTGGTGGGCCAGGTCAGCACCCCCCTCCCCCACACAACAGCTCACTTAATCTCCAAATGTGGAATGGGGCTGTGGGCAGGCAGGGAGTTGGCATAGGTGCTGGTGGCAGTAGTGGCAGGGAGGAGCTGGGGGCTGTGCCTGGGTCCTGGCCGATCCCCATGGGGCTGGGACCAGCTGCAGGGGCAGCCAAAAGGAGGTACTGCTGCTGGGAAATGGAGTCTGGCCACAGAGCCGCCGCTGCCCCCGCCCTACTGCATGCCTGGGGGGTGGTGGGATACACTACAGGCTTGATGGTGCCTGGGCCATGTGGGACCAAAGGACCAGCCTTGGGCTGGACAGAGTTCTTCCATGGGTTGCATCTGGCTTGTGGGCTGTATTTTGTCCACTCCTGTCCTAGGTACTGCCTGCAATAGGTGTTATTATAGTGCATGGCCACTAGATGGTGAGGGTGCTGGTTTACCTTAATCCAAGGGTGTCAAACACATCTGGCCCCATGAGCCAGATGAGGGTTGCTGGTCTGGTCTGCAGGCTGGACTTGAACCGACCCTCTGAGCAGTATGCCTGGCCATTCCAGCCCCAGATGCCACATGCAGCACATACTGGCCCAGCAACTTGCTGTTCATCCAGCATGTGGGGTAGGTACAGGGCACTCAGGCTGGACCTGGCACCGCACACAGCATAGGGGGTTGGTCCAGGGTGCCTCATGGACTTCCCTGGACTCCCTGTGCTGTGACCAGCATTGGGTCCAACCTGTACACCACAGGCAGTGCACACCCCTTGCCAGCCCTGCATGCTGTGTGCACAGTGAGCCCTGGGCAGCCTTGGAGTGTTGCATGAGGCATGCAGGACTAAATTGGTTGGGCGTGATGCATGTAACATGGGGCTGGCATGGGTTGTGTGCTACACACAGCACCCCACCAAACCAGCACCATGTGTTAGCTTTGGCACAGCCCCATTTTGACTGGCTTCAGAGCCAGTGTACAGGGCTGGTTCTGCGGGGCACCACATGCAGTACACGCCTGACCCCCTGTGCTGTGTGCAGGGTGCATGGTGTCTCCTTCAGTCTGTGAGCTGCATGAAGTCTGTGGGGCTGGGGCCAGTCCAGTGACCCACAGTTCATACAATTTCACAGGCTGGATCTGGCCTGTGAGCCATACGTTTAACACCTTTGTCTTAATGAAATAACTATCCTAACACCATGATCCTGAAATTAAGGGAGCAGACACACAATTGGTGGAATGTACATTGGTATATAATTATTCCTCACTTTTTTAGGCTTAATTTTCTCTGGATTGATTGTCCGGATTGATGAAGAATGTTTTGCATTTGAAAGCTTGTCTAACTCTATCCTAGCTATGCAGCTGGTCCAATAAAAGATATCAACCTAGGAAACCCTTACCTTTCTGGACTGGAGTAATTTATACCAGTTGTATGTTGTGTATACACTCAGCTTTTATTATGGAGCAAAGTCTATTTGTTCACAGGTGTAATAGCGTAGGTTTGCATGTGGGGATTTCCTGTAAATCCACAATGTATGGGACAGTGCTGGCTGCCATGGTGCCATGGTAGTGGTGTGATCAGTATTCAAAATATGTGCTTGATGTGTTGCCAGAATTAAATGCCATTGTTTTTTTTTTAGGGTGTAATTTAAAAAGTGCCTGGAATTGCATACTCAATTGAAAACTATTTTTTTTTGTGAGAATGAGCACCTTGATTTGTAAGAAACCTAAATATACTTTCCTATAAAACTTGTCATCTAAAGTCTAAATCTCTCAAATACATTTTTAATGATAAAGACTGACCAAGTGCTAGCTATAGTGGTATACTAGAGTAATATATGTGCATATATATATATATAATATTTTTTCCCCCACTTTAGGTATAAACAACACAAAACAGATTTTGAAGTGATTCCAAAAGATCGTCCTATTTGTGTACCTTGTAGAGTGAGCCATTGTCAATGCAAGTCCTATCACTATGTCCCCTTAAATGGCACTCAGCCTATTCGTTGTAGATGCAAACATTTTGCTGATCAGCACAGTGCCGCGCCTGGATTTGCATGCAACTTATGTAAGTTAGTTTCCTAACTTCCACATGGAATATTCTTTGTCACTAAGCTTAAGAATAGCTTTTAATACAGGTACACTCAATTTACTAGGAAATAACAGTCTGTTCCCAAGTACCATATTTTGGCGCTTATACCTCGCCAACGGGTATAAGCTGCACCCACCTATAACCCGCGGGAAATTGTATTTTTGTAAACAAATCCATGTATACACCGCACCCGTGTATTCCCCATGGCGGCGTATACACGGGCAGGTGGCGCAGCCCGGCCTGCCCCAGCAGTGGCGGCACAGCCCGACCTGCCCAGGCCCAGCAGGGAGGCAGCCCAGCCTGCCCCGGCCCCCTCAGCGACCCCGGCAGCACAGCCCGGCCTGCCCCAGCAGTGGCGGCACAGCCCGACCTGCCCAGGCCCAGCAGGGAGGCAGCCCAGCCTGCCCCGGCCCCCTCAGCGACCCCGGCAGCACAGCCCGGCCTGCCTGGGCCCAGCAGGGAGCGGCGAGACGCAGCCTGACCTGCCCTGGCCCTCTTCCCTGCGGCAGCGCAGCCGGCCCCGGCCACTAGGTGGTGAGGGTGCTGGATATATGTGCGAAAATCCCCGCAGAATATATGTGCAAAAATACGGTAATACTACTGATAACACTAACACAAGACTGTCCAACTGGTAGCCTGTGGCTGAACTCAGCCTCTGAGGGGTTAACTTGCAGCACCCCCCACCCCCAGTTTATGTGCCATTCCCCCCCAACCCCCATCACCTTCCTGCTGCTGCTACCAGAGTGTGTCTAGGCTTCCCTCCCTTCTCCAGCTTCCACTTCTTACCCCTGCCTCTAGGGCCCTGTGCGGGAGGTGGGGACCCCTGTGGCCCAGCTCAGTAGGCAAACGCCATCTAGTGTGGTGTGCAGCCTGTACGATGTGTGGTGGAGGCCTGCAGCTCCCAGTCACTCAGAAGTTGGATAGCCCTGCTCTAATATATTAAAGGCTAATCCTGGTGTAGACTGGGGCATGAGGGTGCTATAGTGTGGGGACTGTCTGCTGGCTAGCCCTGCACTGTAGCACCCTCATGCTCCAGGCAGCCTCTCTGTAGCATGTTAAGCTGGGTTTTAGCAGCTCCGGGCTGACAAGCTGACCTCCTGGGCCCCCTGCCGGTTAGGGTTGTGCTGCCCTGGCTCAATTGTGTTGCATTCTTGGGCACACATGTAAATGCTATCCCTGGGAGTAATAAGCTTTGGTGCAAACTGAGCTGGAGTTTATTACATTGCATTAATATCACAAGTAGATGCACCCACTGATGCAAAAGAAATTAAATTGCAAAAGAAATTAAATTATTTACAGATTCTTTTCTTTTAAACCTCTTCAGGGGTTATTGCTGGTCCCTTGGCACGGCTTTACCAGTGCTCGTGGTGCTCGGGCCAGGTGCCAGATGATTGGAAGATAGCCAATGTGGTCCCCCTCTTTAAGAAAGGGAGGAGGGAGGACCCAGGCAACTATAGGCCCGTCAGTCTTACCTCAATCCTGGGGAAACTCTTGGAGAAGATCATCGAGGAGCACATCTGTGACGGGCCAGCATCGGGGATGATGCTCAGGGGCAACCAGCATGGTTTCATTAGGGGCAGGTCATGTCAGAACAACCTGATTGCCTTTTACGATCGGGTCACAAAAGCATTGGATGCAGGTGTCGCCGTGGATGTAGTCTTTCTGGACTTCAGCAAGGCCTTTGACACTGTCTCCCACCCCATCCTCATTAAAAAACTAGGGGACTGTGGCATCGATGCCTACACGGTCAGATGGA